ACAAATAAAACTGCGAATTGTAATTGTAATTCTTCCTGTCTCTGCTCATCTTATCGTTCATTGGTGACCATTATTGTCAACTAACCGAAGTAGATTATGTGAACTTTTGCGTTTTAAATCATAAAATAGGCCTTAAATCAAAGATACGTACTTCCACTCGCTCCAGCTCTCAACATTTCATCCAGCTTTAATTTCGATCCTGCCCTTTTCTTGTTACTCATTTCGTGGCCTAAAACGTGAAAACACCTACTAATGTGGTAGAACACGAACTATGAAAAACCAAAAACTTCAACTTCACGCGACTTGGAAAAACACAGGTAACATTATTCATGCCGTACAGGTATGGAATTCAGGGTATATGCCACAAAAATGCAAGCTAGTCTCAATCTTCCTCTTCTCAAGTAAGCTGGACATTAGTGTAACGCAATATAACAATGAAGAGAAAAAATGAAGTGTAAAAACGGAAGTATGCATTACACCTTATGTATGCAAGGAGTACTAAAGCTGTCGAAATTATAATGTGTAACTTTTGAGAAGACAATAACTTCTGAGACAATGGTGCTGAGATGTTTGCAAAACACGCGGACTAAGGTAGCTCCGAACCTGTGATTACCCTTTCCGAAGGCTCACGTGCTACTCACTGCATCACGGAGACCCCTACTTTGCCTTTCTCTCAGGCAATTTTTTAGCCTAACGTTGCAATCAGCAGCCGCCCGCAAACAGGAATGATCTGAGTAGCACAAATCACCATTGAGCCTAGTTAAGCTGAAGTTGGAAATAGGGTTCGAAGATGGCTTGGAGTTCTGAGTTTTGCAAATACCTCAGCATCAATAAGGTGAAGATCTTGGACAAGAATTAATTGGTACATTCGATATCAAAATCATAAAAGCAGTCTAGACATCCTTATAAATCCCAACCTATGGTAGTTTTTGCAAGCACTTTCGTTAATACCTCGCGGCTTATTCTGCTCTACGCTAAGAAAGGAATCATTCGTGAAGAGAGGTTGCGTATTGCCGAGAAACGTTTCGTGAAAATAGTTACGCGAGACTGTCGACTTACTGTGGGCTGTTTCATTAAAGCCTAATAAGTTAGTAGATTTAGAGATTCCCACGTCAAACAATGAATGTCGCTTCTGGAATTACCAGCACGCTTCTTTTCGTCATAACAAATTCAGACAGTCGCTCGCCTTGCCTGTCCATTCTAATCAGTGGGTCTCAATGTGACATCCTTCAGACGTTCTTCTAGGTCCAATCTTAGCGTTAAATTCGCCAACAAAGGCTTAAAGGATCCATGGCCTTCTCTTTAGAACTCCTCCAAGTCCATACAGAAATCTTCGACTTCACCTCCGCCAGGGCTTGATGTTGATGTGTAAACCACTAAAACTGTCAAAGCCGGTATTGATCCACACCGCTTCAACCGTAATCGTCCGATTAGGATTCTTAGTAGATCAAGTGAACCCACGCTAGTGGTCAAACTAGTGTTAACGAAAACGCCAACGCCGCCGACTTTTCTATTCTCGCCTGTTCTAAGGAGAACTTCATCTACTGCATCACATGCTGATGCTAGTGTAGTGCGTTATAAGTAGAGATCGTTAACTTACTAATTCTAGATCTACTTAACCAAAAATTTCAGTGTGGTCATAGCAGGTTCTTCGTATTCGTTGCACCACACGCTAACATATCGAATGCTCTTTGAAGAGTCACAGGAATGATGCTAGCTTGTTTATGTCATGTATTAAGCTACTGATACTCACGGGTAGCTTGCTCATCTCTCCCAGAGCAGCCATGGTCCTTACTTATTAGAGGAGACTTACTTTTCAGCACTTTCCATAGAGTTCCCAGTCACTTTACTGCAAACACCTAACCGAAAAAACTTGTAGAATACAACCTGCATATATGCACTCATACCTATGCATCACGTACGAACAAATGTACGTAAATACTGATGATATTGCCAATCCAAGTAGCATAAACAATCAGTCATCAAGGCGTTGTTAGCATTTCGTATTAAAGTGGACAGAAAAAACGAACTCAGGAACAGACACAGGGTTTCCTAGAGATGATTTAAATGTTGGGACAAAATCATCTAGCTAGTTAACGAGCTATAAATTCTTTTAGACGAAAGGTTCATGTAATTCTTCGGGATCTCGAAATTGCTATGGTGTTTTTCACCTACACTTTATTAATGGGCAATTTGTACTTCTTATTATCACTTTTCTTGGGCAGGAAAAAGGGAATGAGATCAGATTTCGACAGGTGTGAATCATGAATAAAGCATAAGTACAACAGAGAACAAAGCAGTGACACGGGGTAAAACACCAATAGAGTAATAGAACGCAGTATCTGACAAGAAATGATATACTTAACGATTGTTATGATACAACCGGCAAGAGTTATTCTGGCGAATTAGCCGAAACATACGGCAAATTAGTAAGAACACTAACTAAAAAAATGAAAAAGTATAAAGCTCTCAACACTGACCAATCCCTGAAGGATGCGTCATGCATTCAACTTCATTAAAAGTCGTTGGAGGTGAATGAATGCATATCTGGCTTTACAATGACTTGTGGTCGCCTACCGATGCATCGAGCTAGTGCTGCTATCCTCCCTGAGAAGTTTTGTACCAATTTACCGAACCCGGAGGTATGGAGGGTTTGGCGAGCCTGGGGCGCGGTTATCGATCTCATGTGTACTGCAGGGCGCCTCCGACTACTGCGCTACATGATACCAGAGATTGAATCAGATACACTATTTACGTAAGACCTGCTCCTACATAGGAACAATTCGAGAAGTATGAGAACTTTCCCCTTCTGATACAAATTTTCAAGAAAAGAGGTGTTGGTCTATTAGAACTCTACGAGTCTATGAGGAGATGAGAAGTAGATGAGAACTGAAAGCCAAAAAACAATGAAAGAGTTTAAAATGACAAAGGATAAAGCTCTCGACGTTGATCAATTCCTGAAGAATGCGCCATGCATTCGACTTCATTAAGCGTTGTTTGGAGGTGATTGAATACATATCTGGCCTTTACAATGAGTCGCGATGACCTACCTATGTATCGAGCCAGTGCTGTTATCCTCCCAGACAGGTCTGGTACCAATTTGCCGTCCTCGGAAGAATGGAAGGCTTCGTCAGCCATTGGCGCATAGATCAATTCCACGGGTGGGTCGCAGTAGCGCCTCCAACCATTGCGCTGCACGTACTCTTATGAAAAAGTATACAAATGCAAAACAGCGGTCCTAGTCATTAAGAGCCCTTTCGCGGAGATCTTGTTCTTTCTCTGTTTCGATCAATGTACCGCCTCTTGTACTCAGCTATCACATCTCTTTTAGGCATTTGGCATTGCGATGTGCCTCCAGTAGCGAGTTGATTGAGTCGATGCTCAGTGATGGGGTTAGGGTGGAGAGGATGTGATGGTCGAATCAAATGATGATGCAACATCATCACCACTACTGTCATCGCTATCACCAAATAATAACTCATTCTTATCTTCTGTCATCCCGTTAATCACCCATAGACGCAATTCATTATTGTTTCCACCGATTTCAGCCATCAATCCTATACGGCCTTTCGAAATATAGTCTATAGTGGCTTATGATGAACAACTAACACGGAAATCATACATAATAACATCAACTGATACCCGTGTAAACATTTCACGCACCTGATTTGCATGCCTAACAACTGCGACTCGTCGTTTTTGGTCTGTCGCCTGAGAAATGGATTTACAGGAGTTGTACCAGTATAAAATCTAATGGAAAATGACGGAAGTTTAAGGAACCCAAACACGCCGCCAAATCGAGAAGTAGTTATTGAACTAGGGGTTACGGATGGTTGCGTATTCATTAGAATTAGGGCAGAAATTACGCGGCGATAAATGGGACAAGATCCGTCCTGTGCTAACCACCAAATCAGGCAGCAGTCGTGGAATTGGGAATTCGAATCATGTTAGCCACGGCAACACCCTATGGTATTGATAAGAACTGGCCACGACGAAAAGAAATACGACGCTGAACATGGGAAAGTATAAGGAACCGTAACATGCAATAGCCTCTTCTTGACAAGTCAATTCTTTAAACGTATAATTAGAAATTTGGCAACTAGTGCAACGAGAGCAAAACACGTATTAATAGAAACCCGAATAAGAGGGCTGTCACCTTTTATGTACTGAAGAACCAGTCATCTCTCTGAATTCCGTCCTTTTTTACTCTTTAATTTAAAGTTAAACTCACTATTCTCTACTTTGTGAAGGAACACCTAGTTTAGCGACTAGGTGAGCGGGGTCTTTCATGTAGAGAGATCAGAGGACAAGAGTTTAAGTCCCAAAATGCCGTCTTACCTTAGGTAGTGACAGAGGTATTAGGGATATTGAGTATCACCCTCCATCAAAGATCGCACAACTTCATCAAGTAGAATAGTTAAAGCAATATCGAATGGATACCAATGAACATTATCGTGTAAGACACAAAAAATCAAGTGCACTAAATAAAAATGCAACAAAATTCATAATATTTAGTAATAAAGTTAGTGAAGCTAGGCATTTAATGAATGACAATGTTGTTATGAAGAAAACTACAACTCCAGAAGTCTTAACATTATTGAACACCTAGAGAAACAAAAAAATAGAACAGCGTTGTGCTTCCTACAGTGAGTGAAAATTAGCAATATAGGCAATGCAATCACCTCTACTTGAGTTCCAAAACCCATATTGTTATTGAATCTTACACTAAATCACTATATACATGATAGACGACAGATAAGTCTAATAATTAACTCTATTCAAAAGATCTTTGACAATTGTCTTTATGTCTTGGACGATAGGTTCGAATAGAAAACCTGTCTGCATAACTATATCAGAGACAAAAAGAAGAGGTAAAGAGGTAATACTTATGGCTGAAGTAAGAAAAGTTCAGAACACCAGAGATACGGTAAAATTGTACAACTTGACCACTACACGGGCAGAACAAAGACGACTGCATGATATTAATAAATTCCCTATTTTTAATTGTGAAACAATTTAAGCAGTTTGCTACCCGTCTTAATCTTGCTGAGACTTGGCGCTTTGTGTAATGGAACTGGTTTGGCTGGTTTAGCACGCACGCGACCGTTTGCACGAAGTGCGGAAAAAGCAGACTTCCCTTTAAAAAAGAAAAACTTTCTTACCCAGTACATTTTCTCATAAAAAGATCTTCAGCATCAAATTTGTTATGGGAGTATGTTATTAGCTCAACCTATTTGTAACAAAGTGACACTGGTAAAAGTAATTTACTTGGAGTGACAATTTCCGAATCTGATGAGCACAACCGTGGTGATGGGCTTCTTGTTCCAGTTAAGATATTCTGCAATAATAACTCTACCTTTTCGAATGCAAGCTGACGCGGAAGCTAAACTTTATTAAGGAAAATAGTGAATGAGAGACGGAATCTTTAAAGGAATACAAAAATTTTAAAACTTCGAATCTGGATCATTTACTGTTACCTGGAACGTTGTATGAAGAAGCTGTGAAAGAGGGCGGGGGTCGCCAGCAGCTGTCGATTCGGCAAAATGTATTTTGTACTTGTTAGCCATAGCTTCACCTTCAGCTTCAGAAACTTGCCTATAGATGTATCAATCAGATGACTCATAAATAGAAATCATGACCAACCAAAACTATAGCGGTAGTATTACTTGGATGCTTGGACGGCCCGTCTTCACTGACTCTGCAGGTCCGATCATAATTTCCACTTTTTGGAAGTTTTGCTGGTTAAGCCATTGTGGTTACCTGGAGTCCTCAGGTCAGCCAAACCAAAGTATGCCCCAGGTCGTCACCACCACAGGCAGTCGTCATCTTTGTGGATCAGAAGGAGATTTCCACCATGCGACTTGTTTCATACCAAGACGGTGGTGGGTTGTTGTATCGGTTTATCTTAGCTGGGTTTCGTAACGGAAACGCCGAACTCCTCAGCTTGTGAGGCACTGCTTAGGAGATAAATCTTCGCAGCCTGAACCGAGTAATAACTCCCAGCCACGATGAGCTAGTAAACCGTTGGGAGGATAGCGGTAGTATTACTGGTTAAAGCAGACAAAATCATTGTATTTTATACCACGATAAGAATTAACCTCCCATAATTTTTTGCCAGTTCATACATAAAGAAAAAAACAACCCGAACAATACAATTGCAGTTTTCTCTTTTCACATTTTCATAACTATGGGCGTCTGTGGAGCAGTGGTTGGAGGCGCCCTGCAATACACATGGGATCGATTACAGGGCCCTTGGCCCACCAAGCTTTCCATTCCTCCGCGATCGGCAAACTGGTAACAGACTCGTCTAGTAACATAGCAGACTGGCTCGATACATTGGTAGGCCACTATGAGTCATTGTAAAGGCCAGATATGCATTCACTCATCTACAAACGATGCTTAATGAAGTCGAATGCATGGAGTATCGCTCAAAGATTGATTAACGCCAAGAGCGTTATCCGTTTTTATCCTTTATACCCCTCACAACTACTTGATGTTCTTCGAAGTACGCAATAAAATATTAAGTATAAATGGAATAAATACTATAATATCTTATTAAGAAAATAGTAAATTTTATAGCAACCACAAATTTAAGTATTACATGTTCACCTGTATCGCTCCAAATCGCTTTTATTTCCCAGTAAAATTGTTTTATGCTCTCTCGAACACAACAGATGCTCATGTTTCGATATCCTCTCAAGGATATTTTCTGCATATCTAAAAATATATTGCGGCGAGGAAATGCTTCTTCAATGCCGATGCGGAAATTACTATTACGCAGTTGAAAGCAAAATTACTAACTTTTTAATTTACTGACTATCTTTTTATGGCAAGGTATTATGTGAAAGGGAACCACAACGATACTGCGATATTTACAAAGACTAGAACCACAAGGCAACCTCGAACCCACAACTACCCTTTCCGGGAGCTTAAGACTTGCCTTTTGCACCAGCAACGACCCCTGCTTTGCCTTTTTCTTAACCAATTTTTTACCCTAACGGTGCCATCAGCAATCATCTGTCAACGAGAATGATTTGGGGAGCACAAGTCGGCATTGAATCTAGTAAAGCTAAGGCTGCGGCCGAAATCAGAACGTCTAACTTTTTATTTACTGCCCATTATGATGCAATGGGTAACGTATAAGCACCCGAAAAAGGTAGCTGCGGCCTCAAAGTTGGCTTGGCACCTGACTTTTGCAAAAAATGTCAGCACCATTGCGGTTGTATTACGAAGTTGAGCAGTTCGAACTTGGCATCGAGAAAAACTACAGCAAAAAACGTACTGCAAGCTGAGTTGACTAGTGACATCATATACTACGAGGTATACATCGGCCCATGCCATCCACCGCATCTCGTCGCGTGCTGAATTGTCTACAGTATCCATTATCCACACCATTAGTGGTTGACCGCCTACTGTGTCCTGTCGACAATAGGTGTCCTCTGAAAAAAGACTACCTCGTATGAACAATGATCATTCATGTAATCAAACACAAATAAAGATACCTAAGCTCGAATCATACTCTCCAATAAACCGCTTCGTTATATATTTGACGGCTATAGCTAGAACATGGACAATCATTGGGTCCGAAAATAATAAAACATAGTAATCACCTATAATGAAGGAAGCTAGCAGTAAAATATAACCAATAGCTCATTTACCCGATTTACCAGAGCCTGTCATTCCAACCAAAGCCACATGCATCTCACGTAGTGCAGTGGCCGACCTCATCACCTGAACAAAAGCGCATTTTCATATATATATATATATATATATATATATATATACATGCAATTCAAGTAGACAAAATTCACCACATCAATCCTCTGGCGACGATGGCAAGTAGAACGCGAGCGGTTGGTCGGTGCGCACTCGATCGAACGCTATAGCTAATGGATCTTGCGGATGGAACAGAAACACACAAGCGGTGCTTTTCGACGCTAATGCGGTTGGTAGGTTAAGCGAGCTAACATGATGATGTGTACGTCGTGCGAAGATTCTGTATAGAATGGTTTCCACTGTGTTAAAACAACTATCACAGACAACTTCTGAAATGCTGAACACTTCCAGACACATAGTTCCATTTCTTTTTGAAAATAAATCGTATCAGTAAAATATGAGATCTGGAGCCATCTTGACTATAAAGCATTCTGAGAAAAAGATTCGTTACAAAAATAATTACCCCGTGTAATCATGTTTTACACGCACTTAGGTCAAGTTGAATTATTTTTTATGACAGTTCTCAGCAAAGAAAAACAAAAATTCGAGTTTTCTACAATAGAAATGTTGTAAAACATGTAGTCAACGATGGCAGTATTAATACACTACCCTATTATTCAACAAACCCTTGCAATAAATTCAATGAAAGGCACACTGGTGTAAGGTAGATCCAGCAACTATTGGCTCAGACAACTGTCACCTTAAACCACAGTGGAAACGCTATGACACCTGTTCATCACTTACTTCTACGCCGGGTTTGTGCAGACCGCAGTGGTCACAAGGAACCAAATCCGAAACATTGCCAATCATTAAACTGCCTGACAAATAATTCTATACACCCGATTGGAACACATCTGACATGTACACGATCTAACAAATCCGTTTTCTCATTTTATACGAATTTCATAGCTATGGTGCAAATCCCAGCATTCCTTTAACGGGACTCGTTTCCTCGCAACCATCATCCACGAAGGTTGCAGAACTTTTCAGAAGTGGGTTCGGCCAGTACTTGAAGATTGAAGATGAAGATTCCTGTCGTTTTGAACGCCGTTAAATGCTGGTCGATTCAATTCTTCGTGGATAGTCATAGTTCCTAAGATAGTTGGTCATAATGTTCACAACTGGATTGCAGAGAGTGAGCTGGTACTAGACAAGTCTTGTACCAATTTCCTGATCCAGGGAGCTAACACCTCTGGTGGGGCTGAGGCGATGTCGAACCATCACAGTGCTAGTGATGAACGGGATCACTACCACCGCACTACCGGTCCCCCTCTTCACTGAACAGAAGAGAAAGAAACGGAAACGATACAAAACAAAAACTGCATGAATTCATTTACTCATGAACAGTCAGTAGCGTTTGTGTAAATGAAAACTATGCATGATTGATGGACTCCACAGCAATTCGGTGCTGACAAAAGTTGCAGTGATGAAATTCGCATAGTACTTGTATTCTAACCATGAATCTTAAAAATTATTAATTCCGTTCATTTTGCACAGTACAAAAAAATTAAACGACCTGGACGATTTAAATGCATTCAGAGGTAAAATTAAAGATTTTTCGAATACGTAAACTCACCTTACTGGTCCGAGGTCGAACCGCATGCGACCATACATGAGGTTTGAATGGATTTTTTCATCAATAGAGAAGTAGAGAGGATCTAGAAAAGGGTTCTCCGACGATGAGTGCTGGAATATTATACGGAATAATGCGCCGTAACTAAAAATTGTCTCAAGAGTTCAGAAAAGCACAAAAGTTTTCTTTCCAATAAAATCATAAACGATTAAACACTAGACATAATGGTCTGCTTTCGCAGCAAAAAAGAGTAACGGTAAACAGATAAAGCTTACATGGCAACCACAGAACGGTAGTATAGATAAAACTCGACGGTACATTCCCTCTGACATTGCTGCAATTACATTAAATTGCTGAAGATTTGGAAACTTATAGCAACTAAGAATACGACTAATGGAGGAAGAAAAAACAGAGAAATGGAAACAATATACTAACTGGATGTAGCATTTCTCATGGACCAATGTGCCCTTTGTTTGGAGTGCGGATTGTATTGAAACGATTTTGGATATCGATGAGGGTTCTGTGTAGGTGTGAGCAAAACTTCGACGAAATTTTCGTAGAATGCCAGTAATTTCGGTCCATACTGAAAGTGATGAAACTGTTACAAATGCCTTGTAGAAATGTCCGCTGTTGAAGGTAGATCTACTAAACTGTTTGGTACGTCAGTGCGGACAACCTGTGACTTGAGAATTAGTGGATGCTATATATAGTAATGGATTTTTTGCCACAGACATGATCAATGGAGTTGTGAAAATGTTTGATGCTTCCATTCGGAAAAATAAGCCTGTTCCAAAACTATTTCAGTTGTTAAACAATCCTCTCATGTTTAGAAGGACATCCACCACACTCAACACTCCATGAGAATGTTTGCTTCGCACATTTAAAAGTTGAGTAGGCTCCGGAGATGGAGATCTCCTTGAGCTTCTAATGGCCTGGGCTTTCTTCAAGCAGTACGCGCGAAAACCAAAAACGACGACTTACACAGCTCAGCGAAGTGATACTCACGCACTACTAATCACGGACGAAATTACACCACTCTTTTTAGTTTGTATTCGACTATATCACAGATAGCAGGAAAATACTGGTGTCATATATTTGTCGTCAAAATCATCTGTTAGTGAAAAGTTGTCCTTTATTTAAAAAACTCACAAATTTGAATTGTCTGAAGAAAGTCTGTACACTATCAATCAAAAAAAAATAACTTGCGAATGATACAACCAACTCAGTTGAATCCTTATAAGCAAAAGATTAAGATTTTTTTCATATCTCTGTGGTGCTATGACTTTACATGCGAGCAAAACCCTTCAAGGTTTATCGCCCTATAGTGGCTAAAAACTTTCTTGCAACTCGTGAAGCGCTATACAGAAATGAACTCATTCCTACAGCATCATCAATCTAGTCGAGATTGACCCGAGGTACTACAGCGATTAAATAAATACGGCTGATAAGCTCATCAAGCAAGTAATGATTATTTCTCCACCCAATAACCGACATCACTTCAAAAGCGTGACGCTCCTGATGTGCAAGAAGTGAACGATTACTGAACATCTCTGGTGTGTTACGAGAACAAATGGAGATTACGCGAATGACCGCTAGTTACTCTATTATTTGTAAAACTACATGTGGTAAATGACAAGTGAGAGATGTTAACCACTTCAAGACATGTGCGGTGAACCCATCGGAACGTTTGTAGTAGGTTGAACAGTCTAAAACAAAATGGTTCATTAAAGTGGCGTTTGGAGAATAATAGCACGACCAAACATTAAGATCTCAGCGTCAAGACAATGCAAACCTGTATGAAATATGTTTCGCTTAGCCGGTCGATCAATTGTGTGTCACGTACAAATCCACACCACAAATGCATTTAACAGCGTTTCAAGATGAATGCGTTCATGCTAACCCATGTAAACATTTAAATTGCTATTAGAAGTATAGCAAGGTCAAACAAACAGCGCTTTATGAACCAATGGGTAAAACAAATAGGCAAACGCAGTTTATCAAAACTGCTGCTGCAACGCAACAATCAAGATGGGCAGCACGACGATACCGGAGATCACGAATTACTACATACATACACAGGATTTCCATCAGGAAGGCCAGGTAAGAGTAAACCAATACTAGGATCTGCCACCGTCCTGGTACCAAACTAGTAGCGCGGAAGCAAATCTCTCTGATCCACAACGGCTGCGACTGCCTATGGTGGTGACGACCTGGGCCAGACTTTGGTCTGGCCGACCTCGGAACTCCGAAGAACCACAGTGGCTAAAGCAGCAAAACTCCGAAAGAATAGAGATTGTGCTGGGACCCGCAAAACCAGTGAAGACGGGCTATCCAAGTATCCAAGTAAGATACACAGGATCCGGAAAACAATACCATACCTATATCTCCATGCAAATGTTTGCGACCTTACAACATGAAACCACAATGTGCCGAAAACTCTCAGCACCATCAAGCAAAAACTGTTATAACAAGATGTTTTTTGAAACACAGATAGCGTATCTATTACCACGCCGAGATTCACAAATCAGACCGTCTTCAAATATGCAGAATTCGTTCCCTACCGCTACAGACATACACAGTAAGGCATAAGTGTGCCGCTTATATCATTACAAGTGCTATCAACACATGGAAAAATTAGTGATGTGTTCCTTTTTCGAGCAAGCAGTTATAAGTACTGATAAAAAGGAATGACATGAAGTAAATACTGTTCACTCGTTAACTACTCGCATTTTAGTATAAACAGACTTAAGCAGAAAAAATCGTGTTAAACGAGAGCTAAAGACTAACCTCCTGATATACCGCCAATATCTCACAATTACGCCAATCCATAATAAACAAAAAACATGGCATTAAAGAAATATCGTACCTAATAGAAGAATCTGAAAGCATCACACTAAGAAACACAGTAAGGTTGTGGTTGCTCGAGGAGCGGCAAGAACATCGCCCTTGAACTAGGGTGGTCAATTTTCGACCATCTTAATATGATATAATAGTATTACATAGAAATATTCCCACGAAAAAATGAATACATGAAAATTTCTTTTCATAACACTCTCGTGACGACGCCCAATTTTAGGTTCGTTGCAGACTGGACGGCGCCTAATTTTCAACCTTTACGGACTCGCTAGTTTTTTGAAAACAAACTGCAACTTTTCGATAATTAGAGGACTTCGTGGGTTGCGAACATGAATGGATTTTTGAAAAAAACCTTGCTCTATTGTTCTATGAATATCATTGACATTTATCGTGCTATTACCATATGTAACTATGGTCCATCATACAAACAGTTTACCATCAGCATTTGGAAGTGTTTGTAACCTATGGGTCCTTGTTTCAGTATTTTTTATGCCCTCACACTTTATATAATAACTATAGTTCCCTATAGCAATTAAAACTGAAATAGTGGTCGAAAGGCTCTTTTTACAATGTTAACCTTTTACTTTCTGCCTACTATAAATTTTCGGGACAGGATATGACGTGAAATAAAACCATAACGATGCTGAGATATTCGCAAAACTTGGATCCTGGCCCAGATCGAACCACGATTATCCTTTTCGGGCACTCGCGTATTAAACGCTGCATCACTGCGGCCCTTGTTTTGCGATTCTCTCAGCCAGTTTTCTACCTAGCGCTGTTATCAGCAATCAGCCGTATGCAGGATTGATCTAAGGAGCACAAATCGGCATTTAACCCAGTTCAGCTGATGCTGTAGTTGAAATCACAATATTAACCTTTGCGAATATTTCGGCATCGTTGTAGTTCTATTCCACATCATACCCTGACGCGAAAAATTACAGTAGGCAGCAAATAAAAGATTAACAGGATCGAGTTTCTGTTAACCTCGGAATTGGATTATGAATTCGTCGTTTTCTCTCTCGAATCGCAAGGTTGTTAAACAGCAAACATTAGACGTTTATTTCCATACAATAACACACATACAACACAATCTTATCTGACGTTTTGGCAGTATCGCCTTCTTCAGAACTGGCTTTTACATGCCTTCCACTGAAAAAAAAGCCGCTGATCGGAGTCGCATATGTGGTTGACGACTCATTTCTACGGCTCTCCTCAATGGAGGGCACGTAACGGCCCTAATGAAGGCGATACTGCCGAAATGTCAGCTACTGTTTCGTTATGTGTTTTTTGTACGGAAACAAACGTGTGCTGTGTAACAAATAATCCAATACTGAGGCTAACAGAAAGTCGATCCCGGGAACTGTTACAAAACGTACCAGCAGAATACTTTCTACTTGCAAAAGGTTAATATTGTGATTTCGACTACACTCTCAGCTTAACTGGGTTAAATGCCGACTTGTGTCCACCAGATCAATCCCGCTGACGAGTGATTGCTGATAGCAACGCTAAGTAGAAAACTAGCTGCGGAAAACGCAAACCGAGGGTCTCAGTGGTGCAGTGTGCAACACACGTGTGCCCGGAAAGGGAAATCGTGGTTCGATCTGCCTCGGGTTCTAAGTTTTGCGAATATCTCACCATCGCTGTGATTATTCACACTTCTGAGTGGGAAATAGAGCCTTTCCCGGCCAATACCCTACACAATATCTATGTTCTACTAGTTATCAATTGGTAACAAGAAGTATGAGAAAATAGTTTTATGTGTTAAAATAAACCTCTGGAAATAAGAGACCTAGAGATGTCTCGCAAGCCACTCCCGCAAAACCATTATCGCACCTACAGATTTTATTAGTCACAAGAGCGTTAAACAGTAGATTGCTCATTATCTTAAATCAAAGATAATTCAGGATGTAATGGAATTCTGCAATGAGAAATTTTCAAGTTTTTTCCTAATACAATCCTTAATTTGGTCAATTTGATTTCATTCATTATTCCAAACACCAGAGATTTATGCTCGCCCACTCCCCGTCAGTTCAGTAGATTTTCGAAAACTCTTAATATAGACAAAGGCCTCGGTTGGTGTGATGAATTGCACGTGGGCACCTGTAAGGGTAATCGTGAGTTTGGAGCGCACCTGCGCTCCTTAGTTTCCCTCATATCTTACTATCTTTATAGTTCTAAAGACAGCTATATCATCTTCTTTCAACATTATTCACTCCATATATAATTTTTTGCAAGATACCCAAAAGATTAATTTTCAAAATTTCAAAATACGTTTCTTCATACTTCACAAAGTGAAAGGAGATCTCCAAAGGATCAAAAACAACATTGACGTTGGAAACCTAAAGATATTAGTTGGAGTGGAACAAAGGCAAGCTATTCGGTAAGAAACAGAACAACTGGTAATATGTAGCGAAACCATACTTCAGTATGTTAAATGATCGAGAAGCAAGAAAACTAGATAACTGTATGGCAGTAATAAACTTGTAGTTACTTTGAGAGCCAGAAAATCATTTTTAGATCAACATTATTGCTTGTGACAGAAAGTGGATATACTGTGACAATGGACTAGGATGAGCAGAATTGGTGGATCGTAATGAAAACTGCGACATATGACCACGTCAAGTTAGCAAGCTAGAAGAAAGGCGGTCTGTTTAATTGTCTTTCTAAAAAGTAACCGAAACAGTTGCAACAAAAAAAGTCGGGACTAGAGCAGTTCCTCAAAAAGTTGCTCATGTATAGGGCCAAATCTGTTGCATGATAGCACCTATATTTTACACGTGATGGCCCAAAAGTACAACGAATTACTACGAATGCCTTAACCACCTCAGAGGACCTATGGTCAAAGAATTAACTTTCCTAGCCTCCGCACTAGCTTCTTCATAAGAAAGCAGTCCCAATCAATAAGCAGCCAAGAATTATCGAACTTTGATACCCATGTTTTATTTTCATAAAAATTCCCAAGTCTGTAATTTCTCTATACTATTTCTTATGACCCCTCATTTGATCAAAAAAGTTGGATTTATGGCTTTTTAAAGTATTTGCTGGAATTAGAACATTTCGTACAAAACGAAGGACCGGCGATTCTTCAACGAATTACAGAGTTGTATTAAACTCTAGAATACTTATGTTTCAAACTGCTTAAAAGTGTATCAGAACTACCATAGGACTTTTCCCATACTTTTTCAGGAGAAATCCAGAAAACGCTCATAGATAGAAAGCGAAAAAGTGACTAATCCGAAAACTCTGTCGTAGAACTGTGGACTAAGGCAACTAAGGCAAATTACAGCTACTCACAATTCACGTCTCGAGATTACGAACAAAATATGACTTACGTGGTAGCATTCGAACTAGCACGTAGTGACCATCAAACAACTGGGCCCGATGCATCCGTAACTTTTCCATATAGGGTGGTATGAGACGAAGAAAATCGTCTACATTTCCACTACACTTAGCCTCTTTATACATAAATGTAAGCAGTCGCTGTTTTAAGCCCGAGTATATTGACGCGTTTGTGGGTGTCACTCGACAATCACCGCTAAAAATAATGTACTTACCAGACTAATAAAGCATATGTATTAGCCATAGAGTTAATTTCGAACTCGTTCAGTGGAGAAATAGTAGTGTAAACACTCACAAGAGAAAAAGAGAATCATCATCCCATATGGATGGACCAATATCCTTCAGTGGTATCATCCTACCCTCTTCATTTACATGCAACATGTGGATAATCTGGAAGAAATCACAGAGAATCTAATTCTTCCACTCAAAACTAGACCAAAATTATTGAAATTCTAATTCAAACAGAGGTCAACCTACCTGTTTTTGTACTGACATTACCATCATTGTTGGTCCACAAAGCGCTACACCATGCGTTAGATTTATACGATCAAAATTGTACATTACGAAATGAGCTATTGAGCCTTTCTGAAACAAAGAACTCGAAAATACAACAGTACTAGTATATAATACCGAAGAAAATGAAGCTTTTGCTATTTTGCGGAGATAGCATATCTCTTCGAATAAATTTAGTGAATTTTCTACTTAGTGCCTATTTTTCTTCTCTCAAGGGAGGGTATGACGTGAAATATAACTATAAGGATGCTAAGATATGAGGGAAAATCGGAACCCCAGCTGAATTTACAGCACGCAATAACTCTTACCGGTGGCACCTCTGCTATTCACCTCACTAACCGAGCATCTTCTTTTGAGTTTCAACCAGCCAGTTCTTTTACTCTAACGGTGCTATGGGTAATTACACGTCAACGGGAACGATCTGGTCAGCACAAATCGGCAGTGACCCTAGTTTAGCTAAAGTTATAGCCGAAACCACGATGCTAACTTCTCTAGCTTTCCGATTTTTTGTTTACTGTCTAATCTTTTTCTTTTCATAGCAGATCATTGTGCGAAGTACAATAACAAAAACTAGTAGCTCATTATTTGTTTTGTTTAATTCCTTTCATATGACAGCAATGTAGTGAAACACTTTCACTGAATTATTCAATTACTTTCCCTCGAGAACAGCAAAACAATTTCCAAACAGACCATCATTTAACTTCGGAAGCAAAGTAATCAACACGTATTTAAATTGTTGAGCTTACATGAGGCCGATAAACAGATCAATTTCGGATAATCTTCGGACGTCTTCGTCTTCATCAGAGCCGATGGATTATCCTTCCAAAAACAAACTATTACCAATGAATATTCATATCAATAGCAACTGCTATATATAAAAGAGCGTTGTCGTATGAATATGCCTCATTCGAGCGGTGTTCCAGTGAAGAAGATCCGTCTCGCTACGACGACGAAGCCACATCGAGAATACGAACAACTCTGGAGCATCGACACGGATTATCGGTTGTGATAAAGATGAAGTCGTCGATATGTTACCAGAAATCAGCCGGTTTATCAACCTCGTGTAAGCTCAACAATTTAAATACATGTTGATTACTTTACCTAGACTTCCTTCCCATTGTTTAAAATATTACAAACCAATAAAAGATAGAATACGATGAACTAGCGGGAATTATTATACATGATCACACCAAGCAAGGCAACGATAAACCTCAATGTCGATAGTGAAGAAAGTATAAATTTCTAAGCTATAGTTTGTCACTGGTAGAGCCTCGTTATTCGGATATGCCAAAGGTATCGTCAACAGCTGATCTGGAGCCTGAAATGTATTCCTTCTTACAATAATTAGGATGCTTTTCAAAAATTAGCTCAAATAGTGCAAGAAAAGAACTAAACGAACAAATAACAGAAAGATCTCACTGGTGCTGTTGTTGCTACAACCATATACTTTCCATCATCCGTAAAAAGCATGCAGTCAGTTCGCAATGATGCGCTATCTAAACGCGAGTTACCCATCATCATTAACACTTCTGATTCTGGCTCGAACAGCCTCTGAAAACAGCGTTTATAAAAACGGAAGTATAAAAACACTCACAAAAACGTTCATGAAAAGTAAACAAAAACAAAAACATTAATTAATATTCTACAACGTAATACTGCTCGATTGGTTGCTACTTCATCCTAGCTGGGGTATACCACATTCCATTAGCAAGAGGGACAAAAATAAAGTATACATGGCAGAGAGCGGCCACCTATTTGTAACAATGGCCGCAAAGAATACTATAACACAAAAAGCGTGACGCTATATTTCCATCATAGATGGGTACAGATTTGAGCGGAGCCCGCTAAGCAGCTCTGGCGCGCAACGGCGAAAAATGGAGTTTATTGCTAGACAACTGAACTACATTCAAACTTTTGACAGCATTAAACTGCCTCGATTTATCAAAACGTCCCAGAAAATTGTTCATCAGTACCATTTGCCGTCCCTTTAACCGGCGAGTTTCTCGAGAGCGAGCCATCGATTTTCCATTCCATCTTTTCACGTGCAAGAGTAGTCCAGTAGGACCTCAAAGCTCCAAGGACCAAATGAGCAACATTTTTAAAAGGATTTTCGTGAACAACTCTGACCATCGGGTCAGTGGTCTTTCTGCAGTGCGTTTGACATCCCGAGGAATCCAGTCACTAACGGCTCGTGTCCCTCGGTTGTCATTCATACGCATGTGTCCGGCCCGCTTTATCTCCGACTGCTTGGCACACAGAACGGCATCTTTGATTTCTGACCGTTGACGCAGGTCGGGCCTTCTCTTACTTGCGTGACACGACATACTCCTAATATCGTCTTTTCGGCGGCGCATTCTAGAATGCTGAGTGACCTTTTATCCTGACTACATAGCGACCACGTCTCTGATGGATGCACTGAAGCAGCAAGAAATAGTGGAGCCGATAAGGAAGGCAGGGAGAATTGGGTTCGTTTTCCTCTATACCACATTCTTCGATGTCCTCCAAACGGTTAACTGCGTTGTCGTGGGTGGGAGGTGTTCCTGGGTGTCGGGTTGCAATGTACAGCGGGGGAACTCATCCCCCTGGCAGGGTCTCCCAATCTGAGAAGTCCGGCGTTTCTATCAAGAAACCTAGCTAAGAGTACAGCAAAATCCACCACCGTCCTGGTATCAAGCTAGTCGCATGGTGGCAAATCTCCCTCTGATCCACAAGAGCTGCGACAGCCTGTAATGGCGACCACCTGGAGCAAGCTTTGGCCAGGCTGACCTCGAGATTACAGGGAACCATAATGGCTAAACCAGAAAATTTTTGACGAAGTTATGCCGGGACTCACACAATCAGTGAGGGTGGGCCAACCAGATATCCAATTAAATACATTTTCGATGTTGTTGAAAGCCACCCAACCCTGTTGCTTCCTCATGTCAAGCTCTGAAAATAAGTCCTTCATCATGTTGAGCTCTCGACCCAGACGGACGTAGCCTGGAGCATTCCGAGATATCCATAGAGATGAGCGTGAATAGCCCATACAAACCAAACCGTTCCTCATAAACATCATTTTTGTGAGAATTCGCCGAAGAACAATTTTTTCACAAGCTTTATCAAAGTCGGCAAGCATTCATTCCGCCTGGCTAATGTTTACTGTTATAAAAACAATGTCATCAGCAAAGCGAAGATGGTGTAATTGCCAACCATCGACTTTCACTCCCACGTCCTATTCCAGTGTTCGCATAACGCTCTGGAGGGTGGTGGTAAGTAACTCCTGCGAGACGGTGTCGCGTTTTCTAGCTCTCTTTTGGTGTCAATGTTAATATCACGTTGTACAATGGCGATATTTTTGTTGTGAAATCTCCACATACCTCACGGAGAATCTATGTACCGAGTACGTACTGCCTAGATGTCCAGGGCTCCCACGACTACTTCTATTTCACCATCTGGTGTTGCTCAGTTCTTTACCGGCGAAACGGTGTGTCGGATTTCATAAGAGCGTATGGGTTCGACAACACATGCATCCTCCTTTTTTCGAATCAGGACAGCAGAACGTGGATATTGAAGAGATCCGAGTGGTAATCGTGAGTAATTTTCTCAATTACCTTTCCGAAAGCAGTCACTCTTCCGTCTGGTCGTCGGAGTGCGATCATCTCGATTTTGTGATTGGCGGAGTTTTGGTGGGCTTTGCTAATTCTTTTCCCAGCCTCTGCGGCTTCGGCCATTACTGCTGCTCTTCTGTCTTTAAGATCTTCCTTTATCGCTTGTCTGCATTGTTTTGCAAGTTCGGTCATCAGCTGGCGGTTGCCTGCAACTCGTGCAATTCCACGCTAGCGTATTAGCTCGAGTGTTCCTGGCTACATGAGTCTCTTGGCGACTTTCGAATTCACAGTTTTCATAAAGCTAACGTGAACATGTTCAATGAGCTAATCGTATTCCTCATCGATGATACTAAAAGCGACTTCTTCCTAGAAGCCCACCAGTGGTCTGAATACATACCAATTCATGATGGTTTGGGAATTCGCTTTGTGAATTTAGCTGCTTTTTTACCTTTCCGCGAGAAACGTGGGGCAGGCAAAACCTTCGATTTACTACGGTGTGGTCTACTTCATTATGCTACTCTCCACTGGAGGACCCACGTTTAGCGTTGAGAGTGGGGCATCAAGAATTACGAGTTACTATAAAATCTCTTGGTCGCCATGATAAACTCGGACAGTCGCTCACCGTACTCGTTCCATTCTAATCCATGCGTACCAACGTGACATTTTCCAAACCTTCTTCTAGGTCCAGTGTTACCGTTAAAACCTCCAACGATGATCTTAAAGAAGGTACGGCCCTTTTCTGCAAAACTTCTCCAAGTCCATATAGAAGATTATGAAATCGCCTTCGTCATAGCTTGATGGAGATGTGTAGACGATGAGGATTGTTAAAGCTGATAATGATCCACATCTCTTCAACCAGAAACGTCCGATTCGAGTTCATATTTGTTCGAATGAGTCGATGTTCGTGGCCAAACTCGTGATGGTGGGAACATCGACGCAGCCGACTTCTCTACTGTCGCATGCTAAGAGGAAGAGTTCTCTTGTGTCATAGACGGCGCTGAGTGTCTGGCATATTCTCATTTCGTCCAACCCGACGACGTCGTACTTTACCCTTCCCTTGTGCATGAACAAGTCCTCTATCGACGATTTGGATGCAAGTGAGCATGTGTTGTAGGTACAGATGGTCACCTTAGTCCCACGAGATTTAGGCAACCTAGAATGGCAATGAGATTTTAGCTGCCTCTCCGCACTCATCCTAATCAGCGCTGCCGTATCAGTGACTCTTTCAAGGTCAGGGATATGAGGCCCATTTATTTTACTGCGTTTAGCATTTGATACCCAAGCATAGGCTTCCGAGCTCTTAACGTGAAGGCTGGCTATACTCATGGGTAGTTTGCCAATTTCTTCCAGAGTAAACGACAGAGCCCAATTGTTATAGGAAAGTCCTTACCTCCCATTTGCTTAACTCTCATCTGACTACAAGCATTCAAATTTTTGAAGATCATTAATAATAATTAGATAGTGATTAGCAGAAAAAGTATAAAGGACTAATAAAACAATGAACAAGTTTGTCTACTGACAAAGCAAAACCAAACCAAAGTAGAATATAATGGCGGTGCTTTGCTTTGCTACACCTGATTTACTACATTAAAACTGCCTTTCATTATATGAACCAAATGAGTGTCTACAAATACTAGGACACAACTGTATTCCTGGTCCTAGTGAAAAATATAAAGGGGGAGCACTAATACCTGGCATAATTCTTCCGCACTGCTGGAACGTGCACGTTCCACGCCTAGGTAACGCAGTATTCGTATCGAACGTAAGTTAGAACGAAATGTAATAAGTCGTTTACCATCAGGTGTCCAGGAAATCACATGGTCTTGCATGTGAAGCGACTCCGGGACCTGCTTATAAAAAATAACCGCATATATTCATGGAAACACCATAATATTAATGGGCACCTCAATAATGCGATCCATAGCCACTGTTGAATAGAACTCTCGCCGATTACGAACATGACGGACACCTGCAAATAGCCATGTCAAAGAAAGAACAAGAAACATTAAAGAAGCACAATTTAAAATTAAGAAGCTTTATTCTTTGACTTCAATAACTAAATCCCCTTTTATATACCCGCTTCATGCAAAAAAAGCACGGCAACACATTGTATAATGTTTTATTAAAACCAGAACAGTCTAATAACAGACTTGGAAAGCTTCAAAAAAAGTTTCGACTTCAGCACCTCAGCAATCACTGCCAATGCCTATTTAGAACGTCTGCCATGCTAAGTGATCGCCTATAACGATCAAAATCCCAACAAACACCTTAAACAAACAATTTCTAGAGCTCAGAAAATCCGAATAGGTAAGGCTCAACATCCTCGCATTTCTCAAAAGCAACACACCAAAGCACCTGCTATTACACGCAATTCGGACAGATTTCTCTTCATCTTAACACTCTCCCGACAACGCCTAATTTCGTACTTTAGCGGAATAGACAACGCCTACTTTTTTGCTGTGCACATTGTGACGACTACAGGTGTCACACTGGACAGCTCCACAATTTTTACGGAAGCTCACCACCATTTGTTGTGATTTGCGTACCATAAATCGGTTTCTTCCCGCGTTTCTTTTGTCCTAGTTATGCTCCACATTCTTCTATAAATCCTGCTACCTTTTTGCGTCTTATACAACTCTCGTGCATGAAGGGAAAACACTCGTCCACTACGCAGTCGTACTGCTGTCACCATTTAATTAAGTTGTACTGAAGTTCTACAAGTTGTGCAAGGAATATTACGCCATTTACCTTTCAGGTCTTATATTCGCTCATTCCAGACAATACCCAAAAGTCATAATTGCGATCGAAAAATAGAGAACAACGAACTGTTTCCCAAAAATGATGCTGCACCACTGTATACAATGTCAAGTCATACAGCGCAGATGTATTTCTTTGTCACTTTAGTGGACACCCTCTCCAGGCCATACACTCTCTTCGATAGCAATAATCTCTCGCCGCAAAATGGAAATTAGTGAGAAATAATTAAGAAGACATCGTTTTAACGTTTTGTTTTCTGCCTTCTATAATTTTCATGGCAGGTTACTAAGCGAAATACAACCACAATGTTGCTGA